TAAAAGATCATAATTTATGAGGTCAAAACATCACCAGACAGTGTGTGTGTATAGTAGTGTTTTACAAATCCTAGACAGGAATGTAGAAGAAAACGTCTGAGTAGTTTCGTCTTGGTTTTAGGAAAAAGGTTCCTTTGCCGCTCTCCCTATATTCAATTCTCATTCCCCTCCCCCTATTTCCTACCCCATCATAAATTGCATCAAGTCAGGTATATTGAATTCATAAATCCAATCGAATATTTCTTATAACTGATTATGAGATGGATTCGATGTTATCCTTTATCTAATATTTTACTCTTCATAGTACAATATATAAAGCATTTAACAAATTTGCATATTGCTGCCATCCCCCCTCCCACCTACATTTAAGCTAAATATTTCTCAAGCAATTATGCATTACTCTATACTGTATAGGATTAAGCATTTACAAAATTGAATCATCCATATCTAACTAGAACTAGCTAACAATCCATCTCAGAAGAGCAAGGAACATCTGGCTATGCGAGACAGGTATTTCTGTATTAATCTCTGTTTCAATGTAAAGTAAATCATGCATATGAGAACACTTGTCGAAAATGAACACCTCAATATGTGAACACTTTGGTTATCTGACACTGACTCCTACATAATTTGAACATCTCAAAGGTCAAGCAACTTTCAATATGAACACCTCTCATTATGAGGGCCTCCAAATATGAACATCCATAAATGTGAATACATATCAATGTGAATACCTCTCAATAATAACACCTCACAAAATGAAAACCCCAGAATGTGAATTCATGTGCATCTCTCAATTTAAATACCTCTTAATGTGAACACCTTTCAATATGTACAACTACAAACACCTTTCAATATGTACAACTACAAACACCTTTCAATATGTACAACTATAAACACCTTTCAATATGTACAACTACAAACACCTTTCAATATGTACAACTACAAACACCTTTCAATATGGACAACTACAAACATCTTTCAATATGTACAACTACAAACACCTTTCAATATGTACAACTAAAAACACCTTTCAATATGTACAACTACAAACACCTTTAATATGTACAACTACAAACACCTTTCAATATGTACAACTATAAACACCTTTCAATATGTACAACTACAAACACCTTTAATATGTACAACTACAAACACCTTTCAATATGTACAACTACAAACACCTTTCAATATGTACAACTATAAACATCTTTCAATATGTACAACTACAAACACCTTTCAATATGTACAACTAAAAACATTTTTCAATATGTACAACTACAAACACCTTTCAATATGTACAACTACAAACACCTTTCAATATGTACAACTATAAACACCTTTCAATATGTACAACTAAAAACATTTTTCAATATGTACAACTACAAACACCTTTCAATATGTACAACTACAAACACCTTTCAATATGTACAACTATAAACACCTTTCAATATGTACAACTACAATCACCTTTCAATATGTACAACTACAAATACCTTTCAATATGTACAACTACAAACACCTTTCAATATGTACAACTATAAACACCTTTCAATATGTACAACTACAAACACCTTTCAATATGTACAACTACAAACACCTTTCAATATGGACAACTACAAACATCTTTCAATATGTACAACTACAAACACCTTTAATATGTACAACTATAAAGACCTTTCAATATGTACAACTACAAACATCTTTCAATATGTACAACTACAAACACCTTTCAATATGTACAACTAAAAACATTTTTCAATATGTACAACTACAAACACCTTTCAATATGTACAACTACAAACACCTTTCAATATGTACAACTATAAACACCTTTCAATATGTACAACTACAATCACCTTTCAATATGTACAACTACAAATACCTTTCAATATGTACAACTACAAACACCTTTCAATATGTACAACTATAAACACCTTTCAATATGTACAACTACAAACACCTTTCAATATGTACAACTACAAACACCTCTCAATACATACAACTACAAACACCTTTCAATATAAACACCTTGTGAGTGTCATTCAAATGAGCCATTCCTTGCACATTTAACAGATTTTTCTACATGCTTTTTAAATAAATGTGGAAAGTTATCAAGTTTATCATTGCCTGGAACCTATTCAAGCTATTAGCTAATAACACAGGGTATATAATTAATAGCTTTGGGGAGTTAAACAATAATGATACTATATCTAGTATGTGCTACATATATGTAATATATGTACATAATATATGAACTAACTTTATAACTTCATAAACACTGAATGACCCATCATTATCATGATGAAGTTAAAAATTTTCATTCAGTTATATACACAGCCCCATAAAGATTCACAATTTACAGGGGCGGGCATAGCCAGCTTTCAGTCAGGGGGTGCGATCCCTAAAACATTTCGAATTTCAGTCAGGGGGTGCGATTGTGGCATAAACAGGCTAAAAAATAAGATTTATTTTGAATTTTACAAAAATTGATGCAACTTCCTTCAAAATTGAGCTAGAAGCTTCAAATAAAAAGCATTTAAAAGCTCTTTTCTTCTTCTTCCTCATGGTTCTATTCTTATTGATTATGGGGTGCGATACGAATAGGACAATAGGAGAAACACTGATAGCTTTTTTTAATGATTGTTTCCAACCTCATACACATTCTATTTTTTGCTGCATCTTAATGATTTTAAAGATCTCTTAAATATGTCACTTCACCGAGTACAAAATGACACAGACATTTCACCCTTAACTTTCAAATTTATGAATTAACTTTTATTCACTGAACGTATTCTTTATTCGTATATACGCTTACTATATGCTGATAACAAACACACACAAGTGCATGTCTGGGTGAAAGCAAGTTTGTTTTTGAAGTGTTTATATTTGTAGTTAGCTTATAGGTAAATCTGTTATATTACATGTAGTCTCCAAAAGTCTACTGTATAGTCTGATTTTTTGACTGAAATCCTTTCCAAATCAACTATTGCCCATTTTTGTATTTTAAATTCTATAATTCAAATCTTTGAATTTCTACTCTCATTTTGCATTTTATAACCTAACCAGTCAACATGGACATTTTTACTATTTTACAATTTTTTTATTAAAGCGTTTCACCTTCTTCATTTCTTTATTTAGAAATATTCTGCCCCTTTAACCCCAAATCTTTATCATGTTGCTCCAAAGATTGACTAATGCAGGGAGGGTGAACATCAAAACATATAATTATAAACAAGCTGGTATAGTCTTGAGGGTAGACTTATTAATAAATATGATTCCAAATGATAAGTATAGTAAAACATATATATCCTAACATACCTCTAATCTGAACACCTCTTAATGTGAACACCTCTCAATATGAACACATTTCCTTAAGAAACCTTGGCAAAGTGAACTCTGAACACCTGTGGCCTGTTCCAGTAATGTTCAGATTAGGTAGCTTTTACAAAAGCTTGATTTGATATAGGTAGAGCATCCTACTTCAAAGGACTTCATTTATGTTTACATTCAGATGGAAAAGAAGCAAAATACCCTTGGACCAAGGATGAGGAAATACACAGTTATGGTAATGTATTGTAATGACCCCTACTCTTGAATCGAACATTAAGAAACACTGAACACTTATGGCCAGTGGTGTTCAGATTAGGCAGGTTTTACTATATTCTGATTTGATAGATGAGCAGTTATGGTAATGTATTGTAATGACCCCTACTCTTGAATCTAACATTAAGAAACACTGAACACTTATGGCCAGTGGTGTTCAGATTAGGCAGGTTTTTACTATATTCTGATTTGATAGATGGGCAGTTATGGTAATGTATAGTAATGACCCTTACTCTTGAATTGAACATTAAGAAACACTGACAATTATGGCCAGTGGTGTTCAGATTAGGCAGATTTTTACTATATTCTGATTTGATAGATGAGCAGTAATGGTAATGTATAGTAATGACCCGTACTCTTGAATCGAACATTAAGAAACACTGAACACTTATGGCCAGTGGTGTTCAGATTAGGCAGGTTTTTACTATATTCTGATTTGATAGATGGGCAGTTATGGTAATGTATAGTAATGACCCTTACTCTTGAATTGAACATTAAGAAACACTGACAATTATGGCCAGTGGTGTTCAGATTAGGCAGGTTTTTACTATATTCTGATTTGATAGATGAGCAGTAATGGTAATGTATAGTAATGACCCCTACTCTTAAATCAAACATTAAGAAACACTGAACACTTATGGCCAGTGGTGTTTGGATTAGACAGGTTTTACTATATTCTGATTTGATAGATGAGCAGTAATGGTAGTGTATAGTAATGACCCCTACTCTTAAATCGAACATTAAGAAACGCTGAACACTTATAGCCTGTTCCAGTGATGTTCAAATTAGGTAGCTTTTACAAAACCTTGATTTGATATAGATAGTGCATCCTACTTCTAAGGACTTCATTTATGTTTACATTCAGATGGAAAAGAAGCAAAATACCCTTGGACCAAGGATGAGGAAATACACAGTTATGGTAATGTGTAGTAATGACCTCTTCTCTTAACTTGAACCAAACATTTCTCTGCAGAACTGAATAACCTAGACAAGTTGCATCATTACTAGAGCAGCTCCAAATGTCAATTTAGCAATTTTAGTTCACATAAATTCACTCTACACACACACTATGCCTGACAGGGTATTACTTGTTTTCTAAAGATATGTCTGCTTTCATTAACTCTTCAAGGTTGTTTCTGAAACAATGTAAATCACTCAACAGCTTCAAGGAGTTACCTTGTTCTCGCCAAGATATATCTGCCCCCCCCCCCACTTACATAACGTGCTGCATGCGGGACATAATTCTAATCAGATTTAGCTGACCTAGTAATTCACCCCCCCCCCCCCCCCGATAAGCAGTAATTGTCAATTGTGTATATTTCTGTACTATTTTGAAAGGGCAAACCACAACCAGAAATGGATTTTTTGTAAGAGATTATATATTCAGTACATACCTCATTGATGATGAAACCCCATCGGTTACCATGACAACCAAAACTCGATTGGTCTCTGCCCTTCGTAAGGAATTTCCCAGCACTAAACATCCTAGGGAATATGTGTCATTGGTAGTTAAGGTAACAAATGCCTCATCATCCACTGAAATATAAAATATAAACTGGTTACTATGGTAACTTACCTGTAATATTTGTTATTCATTATGTATTTCCCTGCATCTATGAGGGTTATGTGATGGGAGGTTTTGGATATGGGGTATATCCTATGACAAGTGAGGCTTTACAGTGAAGTTTTGAGGACACCCAAATCCAGGTTTGTTTTCTTTAAAGTGTTCTCATTCTAATTATTTTCAAGAAATCCATGCAAAATATGGCTCTTTATCATCTGTTGAATTATTCAAATTATGGGGTTACTATGACAACCATGATCAAATCAACCATGACACAGATGTCCGACACTCATTTTTTCAGTGCCTTTATTTGGATGTCGCATAAGCTGGATAAAATGCACTTGATTTACAATAAAAAATTCAAAACATCGCTTCAAAGATTTTTCACCGAAAGCATGCCAATATTGGAGAAAAATTAGCATTTAATTTTAGAATTCTACAATGACATACAATCGAGGGCTGATAAGATCTATGAAGTGGAATCATGTTATGTTGATATTTTGGCAAGAAGTCTGAACTATCAGCTGTTTTCCTTTTCTGATATGGCCAGATTCCAGGTGTACAAATGGAATTATTACACCAAAAGTAGTGCGAAATGGCCTTTTCACGTGTTGGCATAAAGTTTTGATGACATTTAAAGACATAGTTCCTCTTTCACGTATATTATCTCATGGAAATAGGCATACCAGCGCAAAGATCTTTGTTCCGTGGTGAAGAAAAGCCATCAAACATCGTCTGAAGAGCAGATTTATCTCCGTAATTCTACTTTTAACATGGCGACCTTGACCTTGAAAAAATATAGCCATTTGGGCGATAATAGGTGATTCAAAAGTGAAAATGAGTGCTTTTTTCGTAGTTTTACTTTGACCAAGCCTAGAAAAAAATCGAAGTGGTAAACCTACCCCCAATTTTTGATATTTTCGTTGTCTAGAAGTGTCCTAGATGAAAACAAAGTTTAAGAAAATTTGTATGTCTAGAAATATTTTATAAATTAGTGCCAATATGGTGGGTTTGGGTGTTTTTTTGCTCTCATTTTTTACCCCATTTCTACGGTTGCCATGGCAACTATAAGGCTTTGGTAACCATGCCAACTTGATTTTTGAAGGACATCCACCTGATAGTAGTTGGGCCAAGTTTGATGGAAAATGGGCATGGTTTGATATGTTGGCAGTGAGGTTGATTGTGGCATGTAGTAAAACGGCAAAACAATGGTGGAGTCATACCATTATTTTGCCGCATTTTGATGCTTAATTTTCAATTTATAACCGTTTGGTACCATCGTGACGTCACAATATAGCGTCTGACCTCATGATATGGGTACCAAATTGAAGAGGACGTGACAAGCTTTAAGATGGTACCAAACATGTGGCCATTCATTTGATTAAAATGCTAACTTGAATAAGCCCAAAAGGTGTGTCACTCCCCTACCCCATCCATTTTTCAGGCCAGTGAAAAACACCAAAATCTCAAATAATCCAGGCATCTTCAGGGGTCGTTTTTTGGCCCCGTTTTATTCAAAATATCATGTTTCTGGATACCATTTTTATCAGAAATGTCTCAATTACTTAAAAACAGTTACACTAGTGCTGAATGAGAAAACATGTCTCCAAATACAGTTGTACATTCAAATTCCCTTCCTATAATTTCTAGTGAAATAATTATGTTTCATTAAATTCCATGATTTTGCAGATTTTCAATTCAGTTTGATAGAATTTTCAAGTACATGTGCTAGTATGTGCAAATAGAATTTCAAATAGATGCAGTGAAGTTTCAACTTGGTGTTCATGGAATATCAGCTGGAATTTTAACTACATGCTTCAAATTTTCAAGGAGGTGTAGTATAGATGAAGTTTGATTCCTCAACAGGGTGCAGGCCAGTAGCCAGGAGGGGGGGGGGGCAAAAATCTTTCAAAATCATGCAGTTTTCACAATTTGGTGAACATTTTTTTTTCACAAATTCTTGGTGAAAATTGTAAAATCTAAAGTGAACCGCCTGGAATTTTTCGAAAACTGATCCCGCAAAAACTGGCTGTAGGTGTTACACATGGTTGTTATAATGTTGGGGCCAGGATATCATTGAATATATGCAGGAAAGTGAATATACTTAAATCTGGCAGCATTTCCAAATCAGTGAGGGATTTCTTTAGAAAAGCTGACATTTCTTTTCAAAACATAATAAACGAGGTAAAAATGACTCCATTGATAAAAATATTTTACAATAATTTGTGAATGGAACATGAGTACAAAGTACCGGACTCAGTAGGAATAATCTTTCAAAATGGTCTCATTTCCATCCAACCTCATTTTTCTGTGAAACTTAAAACCTAAAAGAAAGGCATCTTCATTTATATCATTCCATGTCACTCTATCCTTTCAAGAGAGGGGCTATTTCAAACCATCAAAACAAAAAATTAAAAGATCTTAATTTAATGTCATGGAAAGCGAACTATACTTAAACATGAAGAAGCACAAAGGGCAACATTTGACTGATAACATCCTGGATGATGCAACACAGAATTCAACACAGAATTCAACAAATCATTAATAATTTCAAAAATATTTTGACATAATCCCTAACAATCAGCTGTTTCCTACTCTGAGATTATCTAGCTATGTACTTCTTTTACTATAACCCCCTCCCCTATATGTACTTGAGATAAAGAAATTATCTAGTATCCACTGAGAGAATGATAAATATCTATCACAGAAAATTATCACTGGGGAGATCCAAAAATGTTTTATTCAATCACAGTGAATCATCCTACCTCAATTACTAACAAAATTAGAGCTACGAGAGCTCGTATATAAAGATCTGGCCTACTTCAGCCTGTATTAAAGTGATGCCTGATTTCATAAAACTTGTCTTACTGAACATCTCTCTCTAGTTAACACTTGTCTCTAGTTGACAGTCCCTTCCTCCTCACATATTCTGTTGACTTCTGTATAACTAGCTGGGATCATCCTAGAGGCAGGGGGTGGGGGCAGGCAAAGATCGCCAGCATTGAATACAGACCATTTATTTGTGTAACAGTTGTCCCATTAATCTATATGGTACATGGGTAGCCAGATCAGACAGACTGTCAAAGTATTCCTTTAAGACCTCAGTTGACCTTGTGAACCAATGCCCTTTTAACCCGACATGATAACCTAACTCGCTAGTTCCTATCTCACATAAATTTCCTTCTAAAATTTGAATAAATAATCAATTTTTCTGGGATTTCTATACAATTTAGAGTGTTGACTACACGTCTGATTACTTTATTCCTTGCTAATTCCACTCTTTTCATCTCAATTTTACATTTCAAAATATGACCACCTTAACCTTCAACTTGATACCTCATGTCTCGTGAGTGAAACTAACATGGTTCTATCTAGTGATAAATACAAACATCAACTGTACATTATGAAGTAGCTGTGTGACCTTCTTTTAAACAGTAAACCCTGTGTATATTGAACATTTTTTTGCCATGAAAAACAGTTCAGTGTTGGTAGGTGTTCACTACAGAGAGGGTAATCTATACAGAAGTCAACAGAATATGTGGGGAGGAAGGGACTATCCACTAGAGACAAGTGTTAACTAGAGAGAGAGATGTTCACTAAGACAGGTTTTACTGTATTTCATTCAGGGTTTCTTGTCTTTATGTGGGTACTTATCATCAAAAGGCTTAATTGAAGGAAGATTGTGGGAGTTTTGATTTCAAAAAGGTGTCTAATGAGGCAAAAAGGGTCATCAGTCATTAGAACAGCATGTTGTTGACATTGACACAAAGTTCAACAGTACAACATAAATAATTTCATAAGTGTGACAAAATAGTAACTTTTTCTGAATGATTCAAGAGGGTGTTCGCATGATGACAACTATTGAAAACCTTTAGTGAGTTTTACTCTGTCATATTGCAGGGGTGCATTGGGTGCAATACACCCTCCTGTCATATTGCAGGGGTGCATTGGGTGCAATACACCCTCCTGTCATATTGCAGGGGTGCATTGGGTGCATACACCCTCCTGTCATATTGCAGGGGTGCGTTGGGTGCAATACACCCTCCTGTCATATTGCAGGGGTGCATTGGGTGCAATACACCCTCCTGTCATATTGCAGGGGTGCGATGGGTGCAATACACCCTCCTGTCATTTTGCAGGGGTATGTTGGGTGCAATACCCTCTCTGAATCTGCACTCTTCTGCAAAATCGGCAAAAACCAGTAAAAAATCAAGAGATTTGGGATTTTTTTCAAAATGAAGATTTTATCTTTTCCGGCCATCAATCTTGCTTATTTTTGTTCGTATATTCAGCGATTTTTCACCGGATCATGCAGATTTTGCAGGAGAGAGCTGTTTGATCCCTACCTGTGATTTTGGCAGAGCAACTACTTGTACATGTATTTCACATAACTAGAACGCAATGACCTTACACCTTAGTGAGAATTTCAAGCATGTTTATCCCAGGTTACATGTAAGACCTTCAGAAAAACCATGTAACAAATAAAAACTGGAAGGTGGTTTATATCAACGATATTCAACATTCCCTAGAGAAAGCCTAGGGCAAGGATAAAACTATTTTAGCCATTTTATGTTGCATGGAGAGAGAGATCTCAAAAGATCTTGATTTTTGCAAAAGTCATGCATGGTGGGGAATAGTGGTTGTTATTTCTGACAAGAGTCAACATTACACACTACCCAATTTCCAAGTTATACAATGAGTCAACCAAAAGGTCTACACCAACTACTTTTTTCAGGGTCTGACTGCATTGATAAAATTTGAAAAATAAGAGTCAGTTTAAGATGTTTTATGCCATAGGTTTCTCCCCCAGACAATCAATGATGTTCTATTGTTATTGCTCATATAATATCTCACATACCATGGATATATCTTGAGAATAACTTTGGGGTATATTATTGCTGAAATATCGGAAATAATCAAGAGAACAACCAAATTAAAGAATTAAACACAATCGATTCCTCGGCTATCGAGGGGAATCCCCATTGAGTCACACAATCACCTACAAGCGCCTTGGACCAGGCAGCCAATCAGGTTTATGATAAACAAATTCAACGACCAATCAGATAACAGGAGGAAAGGTTAGAACGCAAATTTAAATGAAATCTAATCACCTTTGTTTTGTTGAAGATGAAGCAGTATTTGATAAAAATTAGTATAAATGCTTTTTTCGACTTTTCCATTTTTCCTCGTGTTGACATCCAGGAAGGTTTTGCCCAATCAGGGAATAACATATTGACCCTAGAGCTTTAACTTGCTGACGTGTCAACCAACCCAGTCTGATGTGAAAATCATGAGACTATTAATGAATGTTTGCGGTTGTTTGTGGATGGGTTTAGGATGGGACAGAGGAGGATAGCATGTTCTAAGATAGATGAAAGTGCATGATCTACAGTCTCACTATTGGTCTGAACTAAATGCGGGGAAAGTATGAATGCTTGTCTGCCGTATTAAGCTTATAATACAGTAGGAACTGTTTGTGATGCTTTATCAGTGTTCGCGTTGACGCCGTTTTTTCTCGTTTTTACGGAAATTTCAAGAGGTCGGACGGGAAAATCAGAAATAACTTACGTCCCTGGGACGCAAAGATTCTACACCACCATCAGGTAACTTTTACTGCAGCGTAGAAGTGATAAAACATGATTTTCTGAAGAATTTTCAAATCGTCTACTTCCTTGATCTCAATAATGTTAATGTCGGCAAATCTGATTGGCTACCGGAGTGTCTCAGTATATTTGCGGGGCTTCTAGACTGAAACACAGCATTTGATTGGCTATGGTGCCCTCCGAGTCATTCCAGAGTATACCGAAGCTGGATAATCTGTTGTACGCAAACATTAGTTTCAAAATTGAGAATTGAGACTTTTTTTCACGATAATCTTAGTTAAGCTTACTTCCACTAGGAACCGTTAGATTCTAATGTTATGCATCAATATAATTATTTAATGATAGATCAACGTTTTTCATCCAAAAGTCGTCAGAGTAAGGAGAAATGTTATAAAAAGAAACAAAAAGTTTACGACCTTGACACGACCTTGAAGATCGGTGGTTGGTAAAATGTGAAAACAACTCTTAATTTGAGTATTTCTTTCATTCATTTCGGAGAATTTTGGTATAACATTAGTAAAGAATTGTGTGAAAAGGACCAAATGATAGATATTTATCGGGAGAATGCATAGAATTACAATATATGTCACTTTATCCTGTTTTAGCGTAAGCACTCTATTATCGCCCACTTCACTTTCACTTTAATAACAAAATATGAGGGACTCAAAAAAAATTAGACGGGACTCACATTTTTCAAATGTGTTGCGTCCCTGGGACTCAGAAATTTAAATGGCTAGCGCGAACACTGCTTTATAATTAAGATGTAAATTGTAAAATCAATGAACAAACATTCAATTTTCACATATGCTGGTTAATTTTTCGTATTGAAACTTCTGGAATTTACAAGGAAATCGTTCATTTTCACGGTTCATATTTTAACCCGGGGTATTTTACTTTTACCTCTTGGATATTTTGCTAAATGCTCAATAGTTGATGCAACAAAGATGATTTTGTTTAAATTTGCGCTTTAAAGTCTAGAAAGTAACGAAGACTCCAAATCATCAACTCTGGACTAGACTAAATTTTAGCCGATAGTCTGTAAGCTTACAATTTTGAACATTGATGTGAAAGTAGATTTCTTACGCAAGAAAGACAGTGGCAAAAGTAAAGCGAAAGTCTAAATTTCAGCTACGCGTAAGGACAACAGAATTGTTCAACTATGATACAATGCTTTAAACATATGAAATCAAAGATGTAATATCTATATATTAACTCAATACAGATGAGAAATACACAAAATTTGACAGTACATGTGACCTTGACCTTTTGAAGGGCACGAAATATAGAACTTGCCACGGTACCGGTTGTTGAAAACTCAATAACTTTGGATTTAAACGTCTAAAACTAACAAACCTACTACCAAAATGTAGAATATTACCCTATATTTTATACTGAATGTATTTAAAATATGTTTTATGTATAGTTTCTTTACAAAATACAGTAATATACTGACCTTTCGGACGAGCCATCTTCTCGATTTTTTCTGACACGACTGTGACCTGCAAACTCTAACCAATTATAACGCCGGATATTATTCACGTGATTCAAGATGTCAGCCTCCATCCAAGCGCTAAAATTTGAAGAAAAATAGTTGTTTTTTCTCTAATAACCAGGTATTTTAAAAAGTTCATAAATATCTACTAATTCAATTTATATATTATTATTTAGAGTACATATTTATGACCAAATGTTTCTTTTTTGTTGGAGTAACAGCCCGGAATGTCAGTTTGTATATAGATAAACTTTATAAAGTCAAAAATCAAGAATCAGATTGATGCAAAAGCGAGTCTAGGATCGGACTACAGGGATGTCCACAGGATTTTTCCAAGGAATGTGCATCTGCATTTAAAAAACAATCTTTATTATCATAGCTTGCTATTGAAGCCAAACTTCTCCATCTCTCAACATATGAGGCTCCTGCCCTGATGAGTTGGACTTTTGAGCTACAGCCTTACCTTCTTCTAAGGCCACTATCATGGGCGTAGCGCTATATTTCTAAGTAGTACGCCACCACCACGGGAACAAGAGTTGAGTGGTTCAAAAAATGAACATTCAGGGGGTTCTGGGGGTTCTCCCCCAGGAAAATTTTGAAATTTGGTTGTATTTGGAGCGAATTTGCAACCATCTGGTACGCCTGTGCGTACCCAGCGTACCGGGCGCTACGCCCATGACTATATTGTGGCCTTTGTCCAAAGATAAACCCCTGCATGTTTTTTACTGCTGTATACGGGTCATAAAGGAATCATAAAATTTGAAATCAAATGTTCGCCACTTTTCCACATCACAATTTGAATTGCGAGTTTTGGTCTTATTACCTCACCAAAAATTCCATAACATATGAAGTGATCAATGTATTATTTCACATCCTCTGGATTGCTAACTTAGAATTTACAGCGGTGAGCCACTTACAGACAATAACGACATTCTGTCCATTTTACGGATATCGCCATTTTTCTTGGAGCCATTTATTTTAATTTTAGACAAAATCATGCAATATCTCATCAAGGAGCCTAGCCAGTTCCATTTTAATTCATGATTTATTTATATGGCGATTTTTTAAATATTTAATAAATTTATGACACAACGGCCAGCTTTTTTCAAATGGTTCACAATGTTCCAGATGAATTTACTTCTAGCCAATAATTGGCTGGAGACTCAAGTAATTACAGCCCATTTCATTGTTTTATTTCGTCAGTAAAACCTAAAAAATGAGAAATCAAAAGATCATTGTGCAATAATATATGGAAAAATATATCCCTATTGCACATAAATGACATTTGTATATCTTGGATTGCTTCTAGTGTGGCTAATAGAGTATGTGGCCTTTTATATTTAGATGCTTCTCTGCCATAGTATTTTCAAAAAGATTAACATGGCTGAAATTCTTTAAATTACAAGAGGGCATAGGCTTATTGCACAAAAAACTAAATAATCTGAAATATACAAATGTCATTCATGTACAATATGAATAAACTTTTCCAAATATTATTGCACTATGGCCTCCTGATTTCTTTTTTTTGGGGTTCTACCGACGAAATAAAACAGTGAAATGGGCTGTACATCATTTTGAATATGGCGATACTTACATGTAGGAATTGAATGCAATAAATGCACCCATAGCCTCCCCGTCTGTGTTAGATATATAATAAAAGGCTACAGGTGTGGCTATTGCCCCTACTTTCGCCAGCAGGATAAGAGTACATAGTTCTTCTTTCCTCTGAGTCTCCTCCTCAGCACCATGAACAAAATACCAGGGGATTGGTGCAAAAAGTGGGTGCCCATGGTCTATAGCAAGATAAGAAAGTTGAGACTTCAAGATGGGGAGATGTCAATGTTAATGTTTTAAATTATATTCTAATCAAATTCTATCACTGTTAAATTATATATCTGCTTCATATACATGTACATATGTATATGGGCTTATTAGCCTTTTGCAGATTATTGACATAGACATAGACAAGATGTATCAATCTATTGATAGATGATGCTTATGTCAAAATACTTAAACAATAAACAACTTATGAGAACATTTGATATACAGTGTATGTTTTTTTCAGGATTAAAAATGGCAGAATCAAGATTTTGGGTGGAGGATCTGTTTCCACCTACATTTGGTCTAAGTGCAAAAGAGCTTCGGGATGGAAAGAAAGATATAAGGGATAAACATTTGAAACGGGGAATATCACCATTGGATGTGTCGGCCATTAAGAATGTATACGAGCGTGTTAGGATCATGACGTTATTAGAAGATGAAGAGAGAGAAAAATTCGAATTGGGTAAGTATTCATAATTCTATGTGAAATTTTGATTTATACAGGGTGTTCCAAAAGTAACAGGACTGGTGCTGACAACACCAGTCCTGTTACTTTTGGAACACCATGTATATATATACTGTATTAGGTTAAAATTGATATATTTGGCTACTCACATGTACATGTAATACTATAGAAACTATTAGCAAGAACTCTTTTCAAACAAAGGACCTCTTTTGACTTAATTATAGCAAATACAATTCATATCCAAAATTATTCAGTGATTGCATTAGTTCAAGTGGTCCTCTTGAAAAATCTACAGTATGGACCTTTATTATGAGAGAACAACACATAATATTAGGCCTTACTTCTATTTGTAAACCTAGAGCCTTACATTGAGAACATGTGGCACATTCATACAAGACAAATCATTGCACTATGAGTACAATGTTTGAATGTGAGTGCCACCTATCTTACATTTATAAAGCTCTTTCAATGGGCACACTTTACACAAAATATCCCATCATTCAGCATGCTTCTTATGTTTTGTCAAGATATTGATTTAAAGGTGCAACAATGAGTGCAGAGGGGCCATTCAATGATCATGGACCAGTGTCAAAATATATTTAAGTTTGGTTATTCCTTCATATTTTTTTATTTCCAAAGGTACCCCCTGGATTAACACTATTTCAGCTGATATTCCTCTTGAAACAGTGGCGAATCTTAAAAATCTATAAGTGGGACTCCCTCTATAGAAGCTTTGAACTGAATTTTGCACTTCTTAATGCTGAAATTGATAGTTTATCCATACATTTTAAGAAAATAGGTATTTTAAAGATGTAAACCAAATGTCGCCCTGATAGCTCAGAAAAAGTAAAAAATTTCGAATTTTCTCTCTACAGGCCTTGTTGCCTCTTTAATGTAGGCCTGAATATTTTTCATATGCAGATTCCTTGTTGCCCCTTTAAGTTATGTTTGATCCATGAATATTTATATTCCAGAACAAAGGGAATTTGATGATAGACAATCAACATTGGATGGTAAACAAACAACATTGGATGGTACACAATCAACATTTGCTCATAAACAATCAACTAAAAGTAAAAGCTCAACCCTCAAATCATTAGACGAAGGTGCTGGAAAATCAAAATATGCGACCAAGACACATTTTGAACCAGATACATCTGTTAATATGGACGATTCCGCAATTTGGACGAGTAAAGAAATTGATGTTCTACGAGAGGTTTTCAAAACAGCCAAAGACCAAAATCGTCAAATGAAAGCTGTTATTAAAAGCCTCTCAAAACAAGTTGATGAGTTTGATCATAAATTAAAGCACAAAACAAAAATGCTTGATTTGCGAACGTCCAAATTAGGAGATGTCGTGAAGGCAAATAAACGTCAAGATATTTTATGTGCAAGTTTAAAGACAGAACTTATGGAGGCAGAATCTGTTATTTCCAAACTCTCGAATGAAATTAAAACTTTAACTAAGGATAAATCAATGATTTATAAAGAATTACATGATATGAGACTCGAATTGGAACATGAAAAAATTGAACATAAAAACACTTTGATAAAACTAGAAACTGGATATAACCAGTTAAAACAGGATTACAACGTTAAAACAGAACATTTTAAAACAATTTATGAAAATGAAATTGAAACATTGAATGATTTGGTGGATAAATTGACAAGAGATTTGGAAAAAGAAAGGCAAGCTCACAGTGTAAGCAAGAAGGGTCTAGAACATTTACGTAAACATTTCACATACTTTGCCCCTGATTCGGGAAATCAAAGTGACGTCCTGGGGAAATTGGATATTTGAACTGAATATAGGTTTCAACAAGTGTATTTCACAATTTTTGGTGCCTAATTCAGTAAATGAACTCTCTCAAAGTGAATACTTATTGCTTAATTTAGAAAGTGATATTCAACATGAATGAGCCATTTGATCATTCCTGTTTAGCTCTTAGAAGTCACTCATTGAAATCTGAAAGTCACTCATTGAAATCTGAAAGTCACTCATTGAAATCTGAAGATTACTCATAGAAATCTGAAACATGACATTCAGAAGCAAATGAAATGATTTTAAAAATTAATAAAAAAGTTTCTAGAACTTCATATATCTCTGTTTTCTCTAGTTTTATCCTCTTTACTTCATTTTACAATTTGAAATAAAGCTGAGTCACTTACAAAATATTGTCTCATTTCAAGAATAACTCATGTTGAGATTGAATCCGCTCATTTCAATGAAAAAGTCACATCTTTTCATGGAATAAAACCCAGGGTTACCTCTCACAGAGACACATACAGATTTAGTTTGAGATGTCATATATGCTACTTCAAGATTATTCAGTAATTCATTGCAGTTGATAATCATCAGTGTCTGAATAAACGTCAGTGATATGACTGCTTTTAATCTGTGATAAAAACCTCAGACATTTTGTATAGTGAAACCATTGGTCTAGAAGAAAATATTTTAAACATTTAGGAAGACTTAAATTATTACTCTTCTACTTAATTTGGTAGCCATTTTAATTTGACGGATCAATCAAATTGTTAAAGTCTGCCAAATTATGTAGCCGCCAAAATCCCCGGTAATTTTAGCACCATGTAAATTAGTTCATTGTAATATTGTTAGTCCGCCAAATGAAGTAGTCCCCAAATGTTCAAACAGCAAATCCGCCAAAATAAGTAGTGCCGGATTAAGAAGATATACAGTAATTAGAGATAAGTACACATATGTTCATTGAAATAATTTTATAGGGGTGACGTTTAATTCAAAGATAATGTTTGAATGGTCCCTAGAGGTAAGGTGGGGGATTCACTAGAATGAGGTTTTTATTATAAGGAGGTGTTCCCTAAGGATGGTGTTCACTAATGTGTTATTTACTAGAGAGTGGTGTTCACTAAAAGGAGGTGTTTACCTGAGGGAGGTGTTCACTAGTGTTTGCTAGAGGGTTCAATGAAATGAAATGTTTACTCAAAGAGGAGGAGGAATGTGTTACTTGATACAAGTGATTATTTGAGAGAAATGTTCACTTCTGTAGCTGTCTACAATTGTACAACAGAGAGGACGTGCTAACTGAATTTCGAACATGACTGTATTCACGCCTTCTATAATCTGTAAACAAAGTCAACATTTTACCTGGGGTATATTCGCAAACAATGCCCCTGGTAATACGAGTAATGTGTGACGTCATAATGGTGGGCCATAGTGATGGGGGACCATAATGAATATTCGAAACATTTTGGTGAGTTTTCATGTTCGAAACATAATTTAGACCTCGGAGCAGGTGTAATACCGTCGAATACACCCCTTAGGACTAGGCACAATAGCTTCGGTCATTCGGGTACAGAAAACATTTGTGCCCTAAGTCCTGCGGGGTGTATTCGACGACATTACCCTTGCTCTTCGGTCTACATTTCTTGAATATACATATTTATTTTTTCAATTAATTAGATTTATTGTATTTTGTAAGTTTGTCAATCAATAACACTTAATGAAAAGCTTTACCTTGGATTTTAATTGATGCAATTTATTGGAATGACCGAGGTGAATAGTTCATTGAAATGTTTCAAATCAGATGCACTGATACTTTCATAATGAGTAGACACAGACACGGGAACAAGAGTTCATCCCCCTCCCACTCACTATGAAATAGTATGTATTACTTAGAACAGTGACTGGGGGGGGGGGGGATTTAAATATTCTTCCTGGGCCTGTGTGAGTATACAGTAGGTCTGAATATGGATGAATTAATTTTTTTTTCTTTTATCCCGTATTGAACTGAAAACTCAATCTTGTAAGTTTTGATAGAACATATTGTTTGCAAAAAAGAAAATCTCAAAGCTAAAAGGAAGATTAGGTACTTTGACTCAAAATATGCACCCACCCTCTATCTGATCAAAACCCTATTTATGTTGAGCTTGAAAGCAATTTTTTAGCTTTCTTTATGCTTTAAAGATGGCAACAATCAAGGTGCTTTAATATGTTTAGCTAGTCTAGCTGCAAACCCTTGTGACACCAGTTGCCAGTTCAGTTGTGTAGATAGTCCAGCAGGCCCATAGCCAGGGGGGTTTCGATGGGTTTGAGCGAACTCCCCCCCCCCGGGCAAAAAATGCAGTTTTTCACCATTCTGAGCACTTTTTAAGTGATTTTGGCCATTTTTTGAACCAAAATTGTCACAAGTGAATCCCCCTGGAATTTTTCAAAAACTGAACTGAACTTGGCAAATCCTGGCTATGGGCCTGTCTTGAAGCAAGGCTTTGTTTAAGCCTATTAGTTGAAAATGTAGGTAATATAAGATCAAGATATTGAGATAAATTTCTGTTTTGACCATTAAACGTCTATGTCTGGTTGAACTGTTGAACCACATGCGAAATTGGATAAGCTAGAATTAAATAAAAATCAATTGTGGCCAATTCGATATGAAGTTGTATTTTATTAATACTACATTTAATGTGCATATATCTTAAAGGTCAGTGGGTACTTTAGTAGTCCAAAAATTCAGTCAGGGTTTAAATTCCCAAATGAAAATTATGTAATCATTGTCAAAATTATACAATCAAAGTCAAAATTATACAATCATTGTCAAAATTATACAATCATTGTCAAAATTATACAATCAGTGTTATTTTAACCTATTAACCTGGCAATGGCCTATTCTTAAACTGCAACCTATTATGTAGATTAAACTGATAAAGGTGAAGTGTATTGGATTATTTGAACTGTATTCAACGTTAGTGTAATATAAATTGAAAGCGTACCTGCACGTGAACGGCTAATTCAGTTGTATATCAAGTAAATGATATACAAGTTAGTTAGAAGTAACAAAGTGTACAGTAAAAAGTTTACAACTATTGCTGAAAAAGTAACTTGTGTACATCACTTGGTATACAGCAATCAGGCATAGAGTATTTATAAGAGTACAACAATCAACAAAGTACTTGTTAAGTTATACAGCACAGTTTTCTGTGTAACTTATGTACAGGAACCAAGTATTCAATCAAGGGCATAGCAGTCAAGTACAACAGTCAAGTGTAACACTAGTTAAGTGTACAGCAGTCAAGCAGACAATAAGTGTTCAACACTAAAACGAACAACAGTTTAAATGGGCACCATTCAAGTGTTTAATTAGGTGTACACCAATCAAGTCTGACACTCATTAGTTACATATGCAGCAGTGAAGTGTATATCAGTCCAGTGTATATCATTCAAGTGTGACACTAGTATATCACCCAACTGTAGTACAGCAATCAAGTGTTCGTCACTCAAGTGTAGTGCAGCAGTCAAGTGTACATCAAGAGTACATCACTCAGGTGTAGTACAGCAGTCAAGTGTGCATCACCCAACAGCAGTCAAGTGTAACAGGGTAGCTATGGCTGAGTTCACTATAAGAAAGGCAGTAGCAGAAGACTGTGGAGACATCCTCAGACTGGTCAAGGTAAGTCAATAAAGGCAGAAATAGTCAAGAGTCAATCATCGATGAATGTAGAATAGGATATGATGACTTCAAGAGTAAATGGAGTGGAAATGAAAATGATCAATTTTAGTTTATTTATATGTCACCACCACAAGTGGTGAAACATTGTTATAGTCTGCAATTTTTTTGTGGATTGTGTTCGGTGCTTGGGATTTGGCAGTCAGAATTTGACATTTAGTTAAAAGTGGCAGGTAGTGACATTTTATATATTTTATATGCCTTGTTTGCTAATTTAAATTTTTTGATAATACATGTAGCTAGATATATTGTATATATTTACTACTAATATATTGTTTATTTATCACTTTATCATTATCACTTTATCATAAATTGTCAAATATTGTTTATTTTAACTATATTGTGAATTGTATTGAAAATTCTGAAAACATTGTATATTGTCCCTCTATTGTACACACTGTAAATATTTTCAGGAACTAGCTGATTATGAGAAAATGCCAGATTCTGTGATCATGACAGTGGAAAGTAAACAATTTTCAATATTTTCTTTATCAATCAAGAATATTTAAATAGTAGCAACCATACATCCCTTAACGTGAAACATTTATTAAATCATTTTTATTGATATATACAAAACTGAAGAGTATAATGTTTTGAACATTTTAATAAAATGTATAATGTTATAATTGTTGAATTATTTTTCAGAATTACAAGAAGATGGCTTTGGAGAAGAAAAATATTTCCACTGTTTTGTTGCTGAAATCCCAAGTGAGGAAGGTAATTTCTCTAATAGACAATTACATGATTGTTTTCGTTGCATGATAACATCACATATTTGTCATCAATTTATTACTAACCTTTGAGGCTGCATTTCATCCACATTGTTAAACCAGTGTATCCCATCAGTCATATACTGGCACCTTTGGTAGAGCCCATGGTCTAGATAGTTTGAAATTCACTGCTTTTAGTTTTATACGTTGAATGTTTGTATGTCCTCTTATGGTTGGTGTTCAGCATTCGGCGGTTGGTGTTCAGCATTTGGGTGTTGTTGTTCAGCAGTCAGTGGTTGGCATCTGTAACAAATGGAAGGTGGTGACATTTTGCATGTCAATGCCTAGTTAAATATTTTATCCTGTATTTCATCTCTCATTTTCAGGGCCTCAATGTAAAAAAGCAGTAGGTTTTGTCCTGTATTTCTTCGCATACTCCACTTGGGAAGGACATAGTATCTACATGGAAGACCTCAATGTGACTCCAGAGTGTAGGGGCAAATCTTGATGTCTACATGTAGTTATATCTTGTATACCATCTCATATTTTCAGGGCCTCAATGTAAAAAAGCAGTAGGTTTTGTCCTGTATTTCTTCGCAAACTCCACTTGGGAAGGACATAGTATCTACATGGAAGACATCAATGTGACTCCAGAGTGTAGGGGCAAATCTTGATGTCTACATGTAGTTATATCTTGTATACCATCTCATATTTTCAGGACCTCAATGTAAAAAAGCAGTAGGTTTTGTCCTGTATTTCTTCGCAAACTCCACTTGGGAAGGACATAGTATCTACATGGAAGACCTCAATGTGACTCCAGAGTAAAGGGGCAAATCTTGATGTCTACATGTAGTTATATCTTGTATACCATCTCATATTTTCAGGGCCTCAATATTAGTTTAAAAAGCAGTAGGTTTTGTCCTGTATTTCTTCGCATACTACACTTAGGAAGGACATAGTATCTACATGGAAGACCTCAATGTGACTCCAGAGTAAAGGGGCAAATCTTGATGTCTAGGTATATCTTGTATACCATCTCATATTTTCAGGGCCTCATTGTAAAAAGGCAGTAGGTTGTCTGTATTTCTTCACAAACTCCAAATGGGAAGGACGTAGTATCTACATGGAAGACTTCTATGTGACTCCAGAGTGCAGAGGCAAATCTTGATGTCTAGTTATATCTTGTATACCATCTTATATTTTCAGGGCCTCAATGCAAAAAGGCAGTAGGTTTTGTCCTGTATTTCTTCACAAACTCCAAATGGGAAGGACGTAGTATCTACATGGAAGACTTCTATGTGACTCCAGAGTGCAGAGGCAAATCTTGATGTCTAGTTATATCTTGTATACCATCTCATAATTTCAGGGCCTCAATGTAAAAAGGCAGTAGGTTTTGTCCTGTATTTCTTCGCATACTCCACATGGGAAGGACGTAGTATCTACATGGAAGACTTCTATGTGACACCAGAGTGTAAGGGCAAATCTTGATATCTAGTTATATCTCATATACCATCTCATAATTTCAGGGCCTCAATGTAGAAAGGCAGTAGGTTTTGTCCTGTATTTCTTCGCATACTCCACATGGGAAGGACGTAGTATCTACATGGAGGACCTTTATGTGACTCCAGAGTGTAGGGGCAAAGGAATAGGCACTGCTCTATGGAAAAGTGTAGCTAAGGTAAGAAGAAAACAGGTAATGACTATGTGAACCACAACTGAAGTTGCTTTTCTTCTATTTATTGAATCATTTGATTTAGCCTAGTAAGAAACAGTTTTATAAATACTTCATCTCTCTAGGCTGCTAGGGACCACAATACAAAACTAAGTTGGTTGGTGGCTACGTCTATGTCAATAATCTGCAAAAGGCTAATGAGCCCACATTAAAGTAGATATATGACCTTAACGATTCAAGGAATTTGATTGGTGTATTTGCCAACATTTTGGCCTTGACCTCTCATGACCTTTATTCAAAAACATGAAGTGTATTATATAAGTCAAAACGCATCCAAAATAATTTGAAAAACAAGTGAAGTCTGCAATGTTACAATATTATTGTGCCAAAAATGTTATGTAAAACCTGGACTGGCAAAGTGGTCAAAATAGAAGGTGTCCACATTTAAAGTTTTTTTGCATAAGTACCTATGGCTACCAAAAACAACAGTGTAACCATGGGGGAGTGGACGTGGGTTACATTACAAATCAAATTAACAGAATAAGAATATAAAATGTATTTAAAATGTATTCAACCCTATAATCAATCAAATGATCAAAATGTTATACAAATGAGCTAAATCTCTCAACTGATCTTAATACTCAAGCTACCTAAATCACTAACTGATCTTGTACTCAAGCTACCTATATCACTAACTGATCTTGTATTCAAGCTACCTAAATCACTTAAGACCAAAACCACAAATGCTTAAGGCTGTGCACCTAGTTTGTACCCCAGAGCTGCAAATAAAAGTAATGTACAAATAGCTGTTTGTAAAGCAGGTAAAATACAATAATGAAACATACAGTTTTATGATAAACTTCTTAGTACTAAGGGCTATGGGACTTAAAGGGCCCTTATTCTGTTCCCAAGAAAACCCTTATACTGTGCTTGACGCACTACATACATTTCTCTATTGAAATTACCAAATATAAATATAATTCAGTTACTTTATGCAAAATGTACCATGAAGGTTTACAATTGAGCAATATAAAATAAAATGTGGAATGTACCTTATAAAATAAGCTATACAGTCTCTGAGTGCTAGCCATACATCTTTAGTACGCACACAGTGTCTCCTGTAAAACGTGTGTACCAAGATAAGTCATGTGAAATGACATAAATGGTGGTTTTAATTGTAAATGAATAACGCACAGGTGCATGAAATGAACATCACCTTATGGACAAATGTTCCAACACATTGTTCAAGTTTTACAAATAAATTACTCAAAAGTATTTGAAATACAAAATAATATTTACATCAAATTGGAGCTAAAGTTATGGAGAATAAAATTAATACAATTGGCATAATGTTGGCATATTCTAAAGGGTAAAAAGTGACAAAAATATATGAAAATTTCTTACCATGTCTTTACAGTTCAAAATCAAGGCTAGCACTGGTGATTTGGAAAGTAAATGCAATCAAGGTTAATCCCCTTGCATGTGCACACTGTGTGTAAATCAAAGCTATTCTCCTAGCAGGGTTTGAAAATATAATTGAAATACATAAAAATATAACTCTCCACAGTAGGGTTTGAAAATCTAAAACATCCTGTCACACACACGCGGACTCGTCATAATTTGTCCCAAATTATCCTTGCTCTTGCTACCACAGGAATTATAAAAAACATTAAATTCTAACAACAAAATGTCACACACACGTGGAACATAGAAAATAACATTATGAAATACCATTATGAAGGATTATCCTCCCCTAATTAACATCCACTACCTTAAAATGGTAGTCAATAAAATTATGTTCTGTTAACAAGGTAACTTTTTATATATGTATTTTGTTTCTTTTATAGTATAAATAACAGTAACATATAACAGTAATTTGAATTATTAAAATAGAACAATAGTTAAGAAAATAACATTTATTACAGAACGCTTACCGCAAATCACTAAACGCGATAAAATATATATCTCAATTTTTCAGACATCATGTCTACATCATGGCATTCTGAGCTGCTAATCTTTTTGATCTCCTGATAGTCTCAGTTTCAGGCACATCTTCATGTTTGTTTTGTTTTATTCCTCTTACTTTCTGTGGAACTTCTTTTAAGTCTACTATGTTTACAGTTTTTCTCGCTCCATACTTATTTTCTATCGTGTAAACATCATTTTTCCTTTGTACAACTGTATATATGTCTTCTTCAAAAGAATCTTGGATTTTATTTCTTCCTTGTATTCTCTTCCTGGTAAGAACTTTTGATCCTATTTCTATAACAGTCTCTCTAGCTTTCTTGTCAAAGATTTCTTTTCTTCTGTCTGCTTCTTTGTCTATTTTCATTGCTGATTTTGTGTGTGCTTCTTTCAATATTCTTTCATGTTCTACTATCCAACTTTTGTTCTCTTTCTGAACCTGTTCTTCTTTTTCTTTATCCTTGTCACAAGTATCAACATCGTCAACACGGCTTACGGACAACTCATCCCCTAGACAACTCATCCCTGGACATCTCATCCCCTAGACAACTCATCCCCTGGACATCTCATCCCCTAGACAACTCATCCCCTGGACAAGTCATCCCCTAGACAACTCATCCCCTGGACAAGTCATCCCCTGGACAACTCATCCCCTGGACAACTCATCCTTCATCACATGAAGCTAAATTGTAAAGTGTGTCTTGAAAAGAAATACTTAGTAAATACATCTTAGATCATTCAAAATATTATTTTTCACTTTACTGACACAAATAAACAGTCAAACGATGTCATTAAAACTCTCATCTCTTATTCTTATATTACATAACTCAATATTTCCTGACCAAACAAATAAAATTCTCTTTGTGTCTAAGTTAAACATGAACTTCATTAACTTCATCTGTGAATGCTGTGAAAAAATAATCTTTGGATTAAAGAATATTTGAGCTATGAACAACAAACATATTATAACATCAAAGGAACTTCTTCAATCAATGTTAATACAGAGACATATAATGTTTTATATGTCTCTGGGCCCCGTTTTTGTACCGTTCGTAGTAACGAACGTTCGTAAGTCCATTGTTTAATTTGCGAATTTCGCAAAGTTGCATTTTCGTAAGATTCGTAAAGTTACGAACGATTCGTAAATTTACGAAAATAGTGACGTCATGCTTGTTTTCGTTCGTAGATTTAATACCACCTCTGACCCTTTCGTAACTTTGCGAACGGCCTCTTATTTATTCATTTATATTGTGATTTGTGACGTTTTGTCATTCTAAATCAGAGAACACAAAGGGCAACACCGTTATCAACGTATTATCAACCTATTTCTATATCTATTTTAGTACTTTTCATGGAATCTTTATTTCTATAAAGTTCTTATTGTATGACTTTGGTTTTATTATTTTGATCAACCCTGTTTGTTGTACTATCTGTCCTGACAACTGTGGAATATGACGTCAACCTGTTCGTAAATCTTACTCTAAACAATTGGAAAGTTAAGAATGACTTACGAAAGCGTACAAAAATGATCCATTCGCAACTTTACGAATTCGTAACTCATTCGTAACTTTTTAAATATTTACGAATTTACGAATTGCGAACGTTCGTTACTACGAACGGTACAAAAACGGGGCCCTGGTTAATATCATATCGAAATGAAAAATAAATATTTACAAAACAAATCACAGATTAATTGGTTGATTATCTCTTTGTTTTTTAGCAATTTTTCCCCTCCAGAAAGTTTTTGTTTATCACTGGTACTCCACTAGATTATGCTGGTTACGGAAGCAGATGGTAACAAAATGTCAAAGAAACGATTTTGATTTTTACCTAATTCCGGTGTTGCAGCCAGAATTCCCACGACAATTTTATCACAAACGTTTGTCGGTTTCATATGTTTAAGAAAATGTACATGTTTGACAGAATCGTTGATTTAATACCTCACTATTGTTACATAAATGGAATCGGTTAGAAGTGCAGATCTTAACCGTTTTAGAAGTTCTGTTTACATAAAGTAACAAAAGTGAGATATAGAATGTCATGGGAATTCTGCCTACAGCTTGTGATATGAGGAAAAAAGAAAAATCTTCTATACCTTTGAGGCTCCAACATTTTGTTACCCAAACGGATCAACAGCGTAATCGAGTGAAGTAACATTGTTCATGTAATATATGTTTTTTGAAACTTAAAGCTGACCATATTCACAACCAAAACATTTAAAAATCATTTGAATATCAGATATGAATTGGTAATATAATATTAAATTACAATACTCAAACATGCTTAAAGATTAGTCATCCAGGGGATGAGTTGTCCAGGGGATGAGTTGTCTAGGGGATGAGTTGTCCAGGGGATGACTTGTCTAGGGGATGACTTGTCTAGGGGATGAGTTGTCCAGGGGATGAGTTGTCTAGGGGATGAGTTGTCCAGGGATGAGTTGTCTAGGGGATGAGTTGTCCGGTTACCGTCAACACCTAGTTGAATGGATATGGGAAGTCTCGGTTCTCGACCAAACATCAGAAAGAAGGGGGAGTATCCCGTAGAACTGTGTGGTGTTGTGTTATAACAGTAGGTCAGTTCTTTGATATAATCAGGCCATCTTCTCTTCTTGTCTTGTTCAAGAGATATCAGAAGGTTGTGAAGCGTCCTATTAAATCTTTCGCATTGGCCGTTTCCTGAGGGGTGGTATGGCGTTGTTCTTGATTTTTCTATATTATACATCTTACAAAGACACTTGATGACCTCACTCTCGAAGTTTCTTCCTTGGTCGCTATGTATTCTGTGTGGGATGCCAAATATCTGGATAAATGACCTCACTAGTACTTTAGCTACAGTCTCAGCTTTTTGATCTCTGGTGGGTTCTGTGATTGTGAACTTTGTGAATGCGTCTGTGATCACAAGTACATTTTCCATTCCATTGGAGGCTTTTTCAAGAAGAGTAAAGTCAATGAAGACAAGATCTAATGGTCTATTTGCTGTAAGTCTGCCTAGAGGTGTAATAACTTTCTGGTAAGGCATCTTTCCGAACAGACATCTGCTAC